CCTCTGTGCATGCGGTTATAGATTCTGTGCTTTATCAATCGAACTTTCTGTTCACAACTAGAGCTGAAAATAGAATGACAACGAGGACACGAGGAGGAAAAAAAGGATGTAATGGATATCTCTGTTTCCTAAAAATACTGTGAGGATGATGGCGTCTGAGGAAGGCTCTGAATCGCAGGCTTCTCTTTTGCCCCAAAAACAAGACAAGTAGATGGAGGGCTTTGAGCAGCCTAATCTGACAGTGAGTGATTGACCGCCATGTCAAAGGCCTAATCTGCTACCAGAATAGTGGAGCAGGCCGTTTATATATCAGACTTTCTGGATATGTAACCATTAATCTATTGCAAAACAGGTGTTTAAAGCAGCATTGAGACATGTGTTGTGGGAGTTTCTCACTGAACATCACAGCTTTTTTATCAATTACCATAAAGCCTTCATAGATATATCTCCCAGATTTCATTTGTGTCTAAAAATAATTGGTTAGAGAATTTTTGCATGAAATCAGTGTAATTTGACCATATGAGAAGTGTGGCTGCACTATTGCAAGGCTATTTGATTTTGGCCACTTTATAATGGATTTCCAGCTTGTGACACACTATAATATAGATTGGTAAAGCTATACGAGGCATTAGAGATTCAAATACTTTATGTCCTATTTATTCCTTATGTGCCACATGCCCCATGTCTTGAGATATGACCAGCTCAACACAAGAAACCTTTAATAAAATAAAAAAAGTAAAGAGGGGAAAATAGAGATTTACAGCTGGCCATTTTGACAGTAGACTTGATATAAGGTGTTCATAACAAGTTTTGCATTTTATTTCTGGTCCCCTCACACACATTTTAATCATATTTTATGTGATCTATGTATGCAGCACTCATCCTCTCTCTGTCACCCAAGCTCTCCAATATGTCCCTCTTAAACAGATTGCTACAATACTTGTAATGATGGTCCTTCCCAGCTGTGTTGCAGGAGAGGGGACGGGAGCAGCAGGCTATAGTATTACCATAATACGCTCCCTCCCTCCACCGTCCCAAGGGCCCATGTGGGGCTGCATGGGGATGTGGGGTAACTCTGCTGTGGAGGGGACTCAACTGGCTGCCGGTCCTGCAGGCTGTGTGTGTGTGTGTGTGTGTGTGTGTGTGTGTGTGTGTGTGTGTGTGAGACAGGGCTGAACCTGCCTGTGGGCAATGTAATAAAAGCGCCACACACTGCTGGTAGTGATGGTGGCACTGCTGCTGTAGCTGCAGAGGAGGGGATAAATATAAACCAGGCCCGCATCAAGGAGATGGCCCTCCAGTCACAGCCTGACTTACATCCTAATAATTAGGCCCCTCTCCAATAAAACAAGGATTTGTAGCCATGCATCTATTTTACTTGTGTTTGCTGCTGCAGTGGGAGGGATGCACGCTCTGCTGCAGTCTCTGGATGAAGCTAGGGCTTTGAGAGGATTTAATTTCAGCAGTGTAAGAAAGTGATCAGAAACATTTGCCCAATTTACTACTTGACTCTCAAACTTCAGGAGAATTCTTTTTTTTTCTTATCAGCATGAATTTACATTTACATATTTTATTATTTATTTTCATGTATTACATAATCACTCCATTAAAGTTTATGATAAAATCAAAATTATTCATGAGTACTTTCCAGTTCATGCACTTGTTTGAAGCATAAACTGTACATTCTGTCATTCTCACACAAACACACATACACACACACACACACACACACACTCACACACACACACATACACTGTATGGTCTCTGATAGTGGCTAATCAATAGATGAGGTCTGCAGGTTGTAGTTGCATGTTATCTTAAACCTCCTAATGTGCACTGACTAATCTTTTTACTCCTTTACTCTCTCCCCAACATTACCTCTTTCTTTGTGTTCTGTTCTCTTTTGTTACATTTCAAATACACTACTGGATATTCATTATCTATTCATTATCATGGAAAATATCTGATTATGTCTAAATATTGTGTCTTTCAAATATCACTTTCTTTAAATTAGACTGCTGTCGCCTTTATGAGTAATATACTACAATTCCAATAATATGGGAACTTGTTAGTCATGATAATAAAAAGTGTTACATTTTCTTGTCTCATATTTAAATATATTGTACTTTTTGACACCGTATTTTTCTTTCATTGCCTTAAACGAAATGCTTCAAACTGATTTCTCACATTTTGTCCCACCTCTGGCTACCTGTCATCTCATTCCTATAAATCACATTGATGTGTGTTTGAGAATTTCTAAAAAGCACACTGGGGAAGACAGAAAAGTAGAGATAGAGAGATGGTGATGGAGAGAGGGGGAGAGAGAGTGTGAGTGAGTGAGTGGGTGAGTGAGAGAGAGAGAGAGAGAGAGAGATGGGTGGGGTGGAAGTCTAGGCAGGGGGTATCAGGCTAATTAAAGCAAGCATTTGTCAGAGATTAAGCCTTAAACAGAAAAGGTCATCTGAGCACCAGAGCGCACTGTTTCGCTGCTGTGCTCTTAGGGCAGTCTAAACCTTTCCAAGCTAAATGGTAAAGGTGCCATTTGACAGAGGTGGGGGGAGGGGATCCAGATCCCGACTGGTGGTAAGACTGACACTCGGGTCATTGGTTCTTCACTGTCCATTACACATGCTGGTCAAATCTGGCAATCGGTGTCATTTAGGGATGAAAAATAAGTGCTCGGACAAGATCAATAGATGCAGCCGTCTGTACCAGCTGTGATTAATTGACTGTCACCAATTAATGACTGGCCTGTTGCAAAGCAATGTAATCTTAGAGGGACAACGGGACATGTCGAACATGTTTTTTCTCCCTTCGATTTCAGTCTGTTATTGGTAATTCTGGAGTGAGTTTCCCAGTAACAAATTCATGAGCAACTTCAATGTACAATTTGTAGGTTTACTATGGCACTCTAGAAAGTGCATCTTGCATGGTGGGTGCTCTTTGAAGTTTTTTGTGATATTGAGACGAATATGAGCTTGAATGAGAGCTCGTGCTGCAAACACATTCCCGCAGTGTTTTTTTAGTTCAATCAGAATCGGTGACTAAAAATATTTGTTTATTTCCTTGTTTGTAGTTTCAGAGGTCTGTATAATAAATTCTCAGTATACAGTGATAATAAAAAGTAACATCAAATAATGTTATTCAAATTGCTACAACACTTAGCTCAAAATATTTAACTAACAATTGTAATCATGTATATTGACTCCGAACATTCTCATAAACCCAATGGTGCTATGAAAAATGAGTGAGAACAAGTGGTGGCCTGTGATGCATTTAATACTCTGTTGAAAACAACCAAACAAGCACCGGGGATGTTTTTAAACTGGGATCAGTGTACAAGCATTTTTGCTGCAAGTCAATACTAATCACATTCGATCCTGAGATGTCCTGGTTTGAGATACAATAAAGCACATGTTAGTTTAGATATGAGTAATGGCTCTGGAGGGCTAAACTGTGGTGGAGATGTAATTTGAAATATTTGTAGTGGAAATTATGCTAATAATAGATCGCTCTGTATCATTATTTATAGCCCAAATTTGATTGTTTACCTGAGATGAAGGCTTGCTAAATATTACATTGCAATCTTCATTATGGCCATGTTTTAAATGAATGATACTCACCCAAGTAAGGAATTGTCATTTTGCAGTAATGTCAATATTTTGAAGAAGACATTTTGCCATTTGCTATTTACAACATGGTCCTTAGGTTTTTGCTGTGATTTATCATTTTAAGAAAAAGCTAGAAACTACTTGTGAGTTGTTATTTGGAGCACATTGACCTACAGCAAACTAGTTATTTTATAAGTGAGACCAACTCAGTAAAACCATGTTTTGCCAGAACTTCACTGTGTAAATAATACACATATACATAATTCGATGTTTACTCGAAGAAGAGCTATATTTGTTTACAAGCTAATTTTAACCAAAATAGAAAGTATCTGTATGCTGCTGTATATCTGCAAGTATAATATTTATTTATTTATTGACACAGTAAACCTTTAGAAACTTTTTTAGGAATATCTTTCCTATCCCAGGTTAATTTTAACATTTATTTTCCAGTATAATCTGTGGCATGCAAATCACACCTCGATTCCAGCATCCCCTTGGATGATTGGCTGCTTTATAGATATTTATGGGGAATACAGCTGTCTTGCCATCAAACCCATGATTTGACTTTTGCTCTGGATGCATGTAATATGATGTACAGCTTTCAGTTCACAGAGGTTCATAGAGGTAGACGCAAAATTCAATTCAACGGCTGAACTCAGAGCTGGTCAAAATAATCTATAAAATTTTATAATTAATCCAAAGTGGCACAAACGAGAAAACATCCTCTCGACGTATGGTCCTCTCGGCCACCCAGCGGACTAACATTGTTTTCTTTATAGTGTCTTTACTTCTCAGACCAACACAAATACACAGCACATAAAATAAAAATAACTAGGCCTAATGGATTTCCCTTTATATTGGCAGCTCCACTTATCAATATTTGTATATAATAGGCTTCTTATAACTATTATAGCTATTAAGTCATATCTTTTTAGCTTATTGTTTTAATTATATGGCCTATAAATATACAGTATGGTTCAGTTTAACCACTCTTGTCTCTTTTATACGCTAAAGACAAAGGTATTTTTCTAGGAATTGGTGTAGACCAAAACAGAACTAAAAGGAAGAGTGAACATTGGACTTAAGTTACATCAGGTGGTCACACAAACAACTCTAAATGAATGCTAATGTGGCTCCATGTCAATGTTTAAATAGGCAATATTTTGCTAAAACGTGAGCCATAACAGCTTTACAAGGTCAACATTTAGCATAAAGTTTTTTTTTGCCAACACAATTGCTGGTAGTATTTATTTGTTCTCCGTTTACTCGACCTTTTGTTTCACAGGTGGCACAAGCCTACTGTTGATGTTAACTACGGTTTAAATTATGGGCGAATGAAATGTACCAGCCTTTTAGGCCTATTTGGCTTTCCGTAGTTTTGAGACTCGGCGCGCGTTGCAGCGGGGACTGGTGGGAAATTTCTGTGTTGAAGTTTGTTGTGTGTGCGCGCGCTGTGTATTTTCTCAAAAAGCATGGCTCTAAACTTCCAGACGTCCACCCTTTCTCTGACTTTGCCGATTTCGTGCCAGATATGTCTCGGAAAGGTAACTACCGTTCCGCTTTTCAATCGTTAAACATAGATGTGTATACACGGTGTAAACTGCTGCCTTAGTAACCTGAACGTTGTTACCAGTTTAACGTTGATAGCCGTGTATGCAGCTGACATTAGCTAAGTTACCGTAACTGACTCAAACTGTGTTTCCTGGCGTTAATGTACTTCATTGCCGCAGCTAAGTAGTCGTCTGTTCGTGCTTCTCCCCGTGCAGGTCAGGCAGCCGGTCATTTGTGCCAACAACCACGTGTTCTGTTCATCCTGCATGGAAATGTGGTTGAAAAAAGCTAACCAGTGTCCCACCTGCAGAGTCACCATCACAGCAGAGAACCCCTGCAGGGAAATCATCGGTGAGTAGCTCCATACAAACAAGGAAAATAGACACAAGGCAGGAGAGGAGAGGTAATGCGAGGCTTCATGTGCCTGCAGCATCTCAGTTGAGTCATCGTGATATCATGTTAAATAGGGCATGTTGGTAGAGTTGTGGACTGTCATTTCAGTTTAGTAAACTTTAGATTCATTTATGTTAGGCCAGTAAAACTGGTTTACTTGTTCCACCAAACCAAACAGTCTATAGACCAGACACTTTGTCTGTGAGTGCCAGCCAGGTTGAACCAAGGTTTCATTTGCCACATTGTTGTTTGGAAATGCATTTGGCAAATATTTGTTTTTGTTACAATCCAAGTTTTGGGAGGTGAAGAAATATGTCATTATAAATGGCAGAGACCAAAAGAGGTTTGCTGGATATTAATAATATTAGGGTGCGTGTTTGCTTACACACATTGACTTTTTGCTCCTGCATGCAGTGTTTTGTAATCATTTAGATTTTTTGAAATTCGTGATAACACAAATCCATGGTTTAATTTCTTCCTTCTTTTGCTGGCCGATATCATTTGGAATCACATTGCAAAGACGTGCAAGTCTAGACTGATATGCAAACATGCTCAGCGATGGCCAATAGGCTTCAGCTTTGGACCATGTGAGTCATTCACTAGGATATTTCTTGCAAAAGTTATTTGGCAGTTTTGAAAACAATGAATGGTTGCAGAGCTTTCATTGCTGCTGTTCTGACTTCTGTGCAGCCTGAACCTGTAATGTATCGGTTAATTAATAGTATATAAATACTTCAATCAAAAAGCCAATGTAAAACACCTGTTTGATCCCAACTTTTCAGATTAGCTGGGCCTAGTGACTGCACCCAGCACCTCAAAAGTCCTGCTCTCTTTGAGCACTTTACAATCTGAACAAACCCCAGTGAAATATTGGTATCTTGCTAACAAACCAGTTCCATCATGTAGCTCCTGGAAGGCACTTTTTTCACTTTGGACTCAGGCTATCTGTTATGTGCTAAAGCAGACTAAAGTATTTCTGTGCTGAACAGAGATTAAGTTGATATTAATACTCTCAACATACTCTGGGTTTGACAGCCAACTAGCATATTTCCCACTGTGAAATAATGTGAATTACTACATGAAGGCTAATTTCACCCTCAGTTCACAAAGCACCACCTCAGCCTTTTCATAGTTATGTTTTTGGGTAACAGCTCTTGTTGCATCTTCATCAAAGCTGCGTGACATTACTTTAATATATGTTTTGTTGTCAAGTCTGTTGATCTCCTGCTGTGCTCATGTTATTCTGTTATAGGAGGCACAAATGAGAGCGATCACCACGATAGTCTTTCCATGAGGAAATGTATAAGAAAAACCAGAGGAGAGCTGCTTTTGCGGGAGTATGAGGTATGGGTTTGTCTTGCCATGTGTTTTCACAGCAATAACAAGCAGGTTGATGCTCTCGAACAGACCCATCACAAGGTTTATCGACACAAAAACGTGGCATAGGCTGTAGGTGGGACTTTCAATTGCAGCCACCCACCACTGATGCAGATTTGCCAATCTATTAATGTCTCAACAGAATACGTCAGATTCTATGAAAGCAATTCATTATTATTTCAGATTACACAGTGTCCAGCTTTCTAGTTTCCAGAAATGGACCCAAAAATATGTTTATTGTTAAATCCTGTTTTAGGTTTCACACTGTTTCTCTCCAACAGGAGGAAATTGAAGGGTTCATCAGAGAAAACGAGGAGCTGAAAATAAAAAATCAAAGTCTGGAGTCCCAGCTGAAGACTGCTTTGGATCCCTGCAGCATTAATACAGTGCAAACGGAAGACAAAAAAGTTGACCCCCATGTCCTGGACAAATGGACAAACAAGCTGCGAGCTGCCACAGATGTTTGTGATAAAGTAAAGCAGGACATGGATAAGCTGAAGGAGGTATGTAACCCGTCATAATCAATAAATTGTATTGATATTAACTCCTGATCCCCAAAGGAGAATACTATATACTAATACCATAACGTGGTTGATTATAGTATATGATGGAATAAGGAAAACATTATTGACGCTGCTCATTTTTTTTTACCTACCTACTTGATCCCTTCACTGATAAAGATGAGCTTATTTGATTGAAGGATACAAGGACAATGTGTTGTCATTATGCAACACAGGGTTGCACAGTAACATGCAGTTGTAGCCCATTCGCTACACATGAAAAACATGACAAACAAGACTATTGCATTCTTGTGTATTTTTTGAATTTGCATCAGGAGGAATGTAAACAAAACAATACTCTGTGCAATAGGGCTGACATCTTGACATTAAAAAAAAAAAAGAATCAACATCTGAGAAACGTTGTTCATCAACTTTAACTATGTTTGAGCACAAAGCATCATTGATGTAAACAGAGTCCGCCTCCTCTCTTCCCACCGGAGTCCTGCGTTCCACCCATCAAGTGCAGCTTGATCTGGGATGCAACAAAGGAGCCAGGTCTCTGTAAAGAAGTGGACACAACGGTCACCGACCTCCCGTTGCTGGGTTAGCTTGAATTTTCCTGCGACAGGACATCAGCCAGGAGCCAACTGGGTGGTGGTATGGCCTTAGGTCCTAGCTGGGTTAGCTTAGCCTCCATCGCGGCTCTCCTCTCGGCCGGCCATGGTTGATGAGTGTATTCTGTCTTATGTTATAAGTGCTCCAGTAATAAACGTGAGAAGAAAACAAATTCAGTAAAATTCATGTGAACTACCGGCTGCAACATATACAAGCATATTGATGCTTCTGTCATTACCATTAAAAACTATGCTTGACTAATTTTTGTTGCTACCTTTTGTGGAATCTTTTGTAACCTACTAAAAATGTGTTACTTTACCATCCTCAGGCAAATAAGGCATTACGATCTCAAAATGTCGACCTTGTACAGGAGAATATGAGGTTGAAAGCAGAGGTGGCAAGCAGATCTCCTCAGAAGTAAGTATCTTTCATTCTTAAGACATGAATGTTTTTATTTCAATTACATTTTTTACTCTCATTCAGTTAGAAAGGGACGCATACTTCTAAATCACTGTCATGGGTAACAGTACAGACACAATGAACTGTTACAGATAGTTTTTGCATTTTAGGCATTGGGAGCAATGAGGTTATTCAGTTAAGTCCCTGCTTCTTGGTCAAGCTGCCATGAGTTACCATGGAACCCACACAGTCAATAACTGCACTCCCTGCATAAATATAATCAAATAAAAAAAAAAAAAAGAGATTTCAAAAAGAAGCAGACAGAAAGGTCTAAAATATGCGTTTAACGGATAAAGATAAAAGCCAAAGCCTACAGGTCAGTGTAAAACTGAACCACCACCTGGCGATAGAGACAGAAGACAACAGATTAAGAAACAACACTGTTTCTATACTCGCTGTGAAAAAGCAAAAGCAGCATGTGTACTAAAGCTTCAGTAGCTAGCTTAGCATAGGAGTGCTAACGCTAGTTAATTATGGACGAGCATACACTTCCAATGTTAGCCCTACAATGTAACATTTCCGAAACGTATGTCTCTTTCCAGCATCTCTGTGTAACGAGTATCACTATTCCACGTTTAACCATGACTAGCTCCAAATCCACAAAGCCCAAAAACATTTGAAACGATTGCTTGAGATACTCTGGTGGAGAGACGGATAGTTGTCGGAGCAGGCCGATTCTGCACTATGATTGCCCGTCTGCGTTTGACAAAGGTTCAATTCACTGGTTCAAGTTGGAGGCAGTGACTTGCTGCTAAAATGAGTAATACCTGTATGATTTTTTTCATTTTTTTCCCTTTCTCTGTCAAATCAAAAACAGTCACAGACCACCTTTTTAAATGGATATTCCAAAAGACAAAGAACATTTTTATTTACATCTTCGGTTTGACTTTCTTTTTCAAATGTGCTATCTTGCATAAGGTCAAGAGCATGACGAATAAATAAAAGTGTCAGCTAAATGTTGCTAGGCTTCTGTCATGATGATTCTAGAACAATTTAAATTCACAAAATGATCTGTCCCCAGGTTCGGTCGTTACACAGTGGCGGCACTGGAAGCTAAAATCCAGCAGCATGAGCGTGATGTGGACCACTTGAAGAGGGCTCTGGAGCGCAGCGACCAGTACATCGAAGACCTTGAGTCTCGGGTCATAAAGCCTGAGAAGAGAAGTCTTGAAGGGCAGGAAGCATGCGGGAACGGCAAGGCTGAGTCCGACACACTCGCACAGCTACACAAAATCAGCATGATGATGAGAAGCTTGAGTGACAATGAGAGGGAGTCAATCTGCAGCAATCCAGTGGTAGAAGGTCGAGCCTTTTCTCGAAATCACAGTTTGATGTTCATGCCATCTGCAGATCACAAAGAGTCTGATAAGAATCTGACTGGAGACCAGGAAAACGAGGACTTGGTAAGCACCTCGTCCAACCTTTTGCCCGCCACTCCGTCCTCTGCCTTCCGATCGCTGACTCTGAGAAGCCCTGGCGTCCGTGAAAAGAGAGTTGCATTCAAACCAGCGTCCTATCTGAGGAAGCTTGATTTTGAAGAAATTCCTAGCCCTGACAAGAGCAGCAGCAGCAGCAGCACCACGGAGAACCAATTCAGCAGCCTCGACGAGCTCCCCAAAGGCTTGCCTGCAAATACTGACGTGGAACTCTTAAAGTCTGTCTTCTGGGATGATTGGCAGAGTTCAAAATCTAATGACAAGTCATGTCCAGGTCCAAGTGAAGACGGCCCAGTTAAAGGAGCCGCATCCGCAACTCTTGAAGGTGATGAGTCCGGTGGTTTCTCGATGTCCAGCGAGGCCTCCATGGATGCAGCATACCTGGACAAAATCTCAGAGTTGGACTCCATGATGTTGGATGGAGAGAGTTCCAGTAGCCGGGGATCGCAGCTCTCCCTGGCTTCCTCCCCTCACGCAGACTTGGACAACACTCTGGTCCCAGAACCACAAACGTGCCCCGATGTCTCGTCAAGTCGTGGTGGCGAACCCGCAGTACCATGTGACCAGAAGAAGCACTCACCGCTAAACAACGCGGGGGGCACCTTGAGTGACAAAGAGGCTCCAAAAGGCTCGGCGGAGGAAAGTGCGCCGGTGTCTGGCAGGGAGAGCGGGGGCCATGTACCCGACTGTGGTCCCCCTCAGACTGACGAAGAACTGTCCTTTGATTTGCTGTTCGATTCACTGGAGGAGAATAAGGCCGGTCCCTCTGGCTCTCTCAGTCCAGCGAGCCAAGACCACGATCACGTTGACTTCTCCACCACCTCGTCCCCCAGCTGCACCGGTAAACCTGTGAACACAACAAGAGACAGACAGGCACTGAACATCAGCCAGCCGACAAAGAGGAAGTCTCACAGTCCCTTTAACACAAGCAGCCCCACGAAACTTTCAAAGCTCATGTGAAGGTTTTAAAATAAGAACCTGTGTTGTCACTGTGCCGTCCACTCCGGTGTGTTTTGGTCAGGCTTCACAACCACACGCGGCCCGAAACATTAACTCCACGGTTCTCCAGAATAAATTTGTGAATGTGATGCTCCTGTGTAAATTATTGTCATTTTGTCTGTTGTTATATTGTATGAATTAAGACTAAATATGACAGATTTGTCATAGTTTTCTTTCTGTAGTATACTTATAGGTCTCGGTGGCAGTTAAATGATCTTAAGGCCAGCCTTCTGTAATCTGACAAACACTCCTGTGTTGTACTGTATAGTGCACCAGTTTTGGTGCTAAGACATTTTTCAAACTTTCAGTCTACTTGTATGCGTTTGTCCTTTTCAAGTTATTCAGTAAACACAATCCACGTGGTAATCTTTTTTATAATGTCACGCAATACTGAAGAGGGATGAACACGACCATCATGAAAAACTGACATTTTGAAATAAAAATTGCAGTGTAAGAGTTTGTGAGGAAATAAAGTAGTAATGCAAGGACAAACAATGTATGACACTTCTTTTTCTTTTGTTTTTCTGCATTGCCTTTTTATTTTTGCTGTTCCTTGATCACATGATTCAGCTCACCTATTAACTCCCTCATGGGGACGTTCATGGGCTTCAATAGGCTGTTGGTCTGGTATTTTGTGGTGAATTTTTCATATTGTCATTTCTAGTGGAATTCGGGACTAACATTTAGGACATTATCATTTTTCTGTTTTCGTGCTACTTTTCCTGATTTGCATCACATTAAAATGGTAATTATTAATTCCCTGCTTTTAAACGACGGAAACGCATATCCTGTTAATGCGGATAAAAGCATGTTGTAGCTTGTAACGACGGACATTAGAGACCTCACACGCAAAGTAATTCCATTATAGCGCTAAGCGCCTTATTTATCATGCAAATTTAACGATACCATGTATATTTCACATACCTCTAATCGCCGCATGCAATTTTAATTGGCTAGCCGTTGTGGTTTGAATAAATGAAGTGTTAATTCATTGGGATTAATTAATTTAGGTAAAGACTGTGTACAAGGTTACGCTGGTGTATTAAATCAATTTGTTCAGTGCTCATCTGGCGATGATGGGCTTTAATGATAAGACGGCGGGCTCATTACTTCCAAGGGTTAAGATGAGAGACAGACGGGACGAAGCGTGTAACCTACACTTTTAAACACGTGCCATTGCTGTAAACTCAAAGTCTATAAAAGAAACGTATAGATGTATTTTAGATTTATAATGTTGCTTGTCGTGCATTGTTGTAGACATTAACATCTCATCACAGATTATATGATTTATAGTGATTTCAAACCAATAATTCTATATCATAACAACGTCCTGAAATCAGATAAACACCAGTCTAAAGCGTGTGGCGGCTAAAAATAAAGAGTGTTAAGTCAATTGTTTCCAAGTAAAGAACGGGGCCTAAAGGCATTGGGACCGGCGCAGCTCGGTGGCAGGATGGAGTGGAGTGAGCCCTCACAAACGCGGGCGTCTAGTCTCCAGATGTTACAGCCTGGCCTGTGAGCTGGGTTTTTTTTTATCCGTCAGCCTGCTCACTGTTCTGGCAGCGTTTATGTCTCGCGAGAGCAGCCGAGCACGGGCTTGACGAGATCTGAGGCGCTCAGGTGTAAGAGCCTCTCTCATCCCCAGCAGTGGGAAACAGTAGACAGATAAGTGCGTCTGAGAGACTGCAGGCATCTCTGTGATCTCCGGGCTCAAGGCTGCACTCGGCTCACTACACAGCGAACTACACCGCATCATTGCTGGATAGGCAAAGGACCGCTGTGTATCTATGACTATTTTCCTGCTCTTGTAGCAGTCCCCCCCCCCCCATTTCTTCCCGTGCACTTTAATTGGAGAAGCTCGCCAAGATGATGTCCATGAACAGCAAACAGCCGCACTTCGCAATGCATCCCTCTTTACCCGAGCACAAGTACACCAATTTGCATTCCAGCTCGGAAGCTATAAGGAGAGCCTGTCTACAAACTCCACAGGTAAATTAGACCCGCAAAAACTTCGACTTTGTATTATTTTTGCTGCATGTAGCGCTGAACGCTGTCGGTGCGTAATAGCAAGGGGTGCTCCAAGGCATGTTCAGCCAAGACGCGCACCTACTGTTTTTTTTTCTTCTTCCATGTGTTCCACGGCAATCACTCGAAGAGTCTTCTTTTTAAAAGCATGTTCACGCGACGCCTGTCTTTACTGTTTTTGTATTAATTGTGATGACTTGTCGTTTCGTAAGGAACACTCCGGCTGCATGTCGCCAAAAGTCCCGACTGACAGATACATTTATTTATGTTTTTCTTTTCCTTTCTCCGTGTCTTTTTCTCCCTTTCATGCCCATTTCTCACCCTTTCATTCCCCCCCCTCATTCTCTCCCTTGTTATTTTCGCCCCTTGCAGCTCCAAAATAACATATTTGCGAGCCTGGATGAGACCCTGCTGGCCCGCGCGGAGGCTTTGGCGGCCGTGGACATCGCCGTGTCCCAGAACAAGACGCACCCGTTCAAGCCCGACGCCACCTACCACACGATGAGCACGGTGCCATGCTCGTCGGGGTCCACTGTGCCGCTGGCCCACCACCACCACCACCATCACCACCACCACCACCAGAATGAGCACCAGGACATCATGGACCACCTCACCTCGCCGTCCCTCGCCCTGATGTCCGGCGCGCACGACGGGTCCGGCGGAGGGGGCGGCGGAGGGCTCCTCTCCACCTCCTCTGGCCATCCGCACTCGCACATGCACGGCTTGAGTCACCTCTCCCACCAGGCTATGAGCATGAACTCGCCTCTCACCCACCACGGGCTCTTACCGGGTCATCACGGAGGGGGTCAAGGCGGCCTGGGACTCACTAACGCCGGACTCCCTTCCATCAATGACTCGGACACAGACCCAAGGGAGCTGGAAGCTTTCGCAGAGCGCTTCAAGCAGCGGAGGATCAAGCTGGGGGTGACCCAGGCGGACGTGGGCGGCGCTCTGGCTAATCTCAAAATCCCCGGCGTGGGCTCCCTGAGCCAAAGTACAATTTGTCGATTCGAGTCGTTAACTCTCTCCCACAACAACATGATTGCGCTCAAACCTATCCTCCAGGCCTGGCTGGAGGAGGCCGAGGGGGCCCAGAGGGAGAAAATGGGCAAACCGGACATTTTCAATGGAGGGGAAAAGAAACGTAAGAGGACCTCGATAGCGGCCCCAGAAAAGAGGTCTTTGGAGGCATACTTCGCCGTACAGCCTCGGCCGTCCTCCGAGAAAATAGCAGCCATAGCTGAAAAGTTGGACCTGAAAAAAAATGTGGTGCGAGTGTGGTTTTGCAACCAAAGACAGAAGCAGAAGCGGTTGAAATTTTCCGCTGCTCACTGATGGGCAAAGAAATTTAAAAGAAAAAAACGAAAATAAAGTTGTGTGACTGAATTTGGGGACCAAGGGACACTAAGACACCGTTTTCAGTCTTTTGTCTCCAGCGATTTTACACGTTGGTGCACAATGGGCGTTAAATACCCATTTTACGAGGCTTCATATATCTTGTTTATTTTCACGTTATCGGTGAATGTGAAGTATGCAAATAACAGATTACACAAGTTTCGCTCCGTTGTCACGAGGGGGAAAGTTTCGCGACGTCGACATTGCCTTTTAACACACGTGGAAAGAGGTAATTTGCTTGATAATATAGCGAGTTATTTTCTCCTAATAGGCCTATAATTTGAAGTATAGCCATTTACGAATTACCTCATTGATTGTTGAATTGTGTTTTTTGGTTTGATTTTTTTTTGTCGTTGTTGTTATAGAATAATTCATGAATCTGTTCATTTATTCATGTATTCATTTATTCTCATTTGGAGGCTGCTATGAACTCAAATGTAGTTGCAAACATTTATGGCGAACGAAGAAAATAATAATGTTTAGGCCTGCATGAAAACCCTAATTCACGGGCAGTAAGTTGGCCTCGATGGGCTGTCACATGTAGAGATATATTTATTTTGAATTTGCACAAAGAAAAAGACCCTTTAGGTTTATCGATCGGTTGTGTCGAAATGGTTTTGTATATACAGACACCTTGACACTTATCAGAGGTGAACTCCTGTGTTTTGGAAATAAATTAAATAGGGTCTATCGACACCATTGGCATCACAGGGAGAAGTTTCAAACAGATCCATAGAGCACGAACGCCCTGTCCGCTTCATCAAGGAGAGGTCAGGATGAAAGAAAAAAACAAAACAAGAAGAAGAAGTTTTCCTTCATGTGTTTCAGTTTGCAGCCAAACACTCTACACTATGCATTGGGAAAAGAATCACTGCGTACAGTAGAGCTGTCTACTGGTAGACCTTATTTTGTGGATGGTGTAAGTCACTGTTAAAATGCCTGTTTTCACGTTGAGGTCACCACGTTGTTTGTCGTGTTAATTGTTCCAGAAACGTTGTGTAAGTAATTTTTTACTTTGTGCACAAGTATGTTTACAAAACTGCGGCGACATGTGCATCATGGAAAATGTCCCACTGTCTCCTTCCCCCTCTCACAACTTCTTCACTCTCCTCTGTTGTCCTCTTACTTTCATTGGTACTATTCATCCTGTAAGCCAAATTCAACAGGGAGGTGTGTTCCAGCAATCTTCTAATAAATTGAAGAAAGAAAAACGACGCTTTTTTTGGTTGTGATTGGGCCCACGTATGAAGGTTTTAAATGTAAATATTGGTGGAGTGCTTCAAAGTATTATTATGGCCACACACTCGCTATAAATTCAGACGTATCATTTTACGTGTCGGTTTTGTTATGATTTTAAATCACTCAATCAATTAAAAAAAAAGAAATCTTGCATTTTTACAATCGAGATGAAGCGTCCAATAATTCAAATAATGCCTGGGTGTCTTTAAATATTGTCTTATAGATGGTTTAGGGGATTTGCCTCATTTTGGAGGTAACCCATATGAAAATGAAGCATTGTCACATTTTGAAACTGAAATAGATTTGTTGTTCTTGTAACTTTAATGCATTTTTTGTGGCAGATTTCAAATGAACATAGATAATGTATAGTATGTACATCAAAAATAATAATGACAATAATACCAACCTAATAATAATCATATTAATAATAATGAATAAAGTATTTGAGCTAATTTAAGGAATGTTACATTTTAAAATGGCACAACAGAGCAAGCTATTGTTCTTAGAAGTATAATTAATCCAAGGTTAAAATGGGACATTGTTACGTGGTTGTTTTAGTTGCCCATAATGGTTGCACCTATGGTCTTCATTACAGCAGAATAGGCTGTTAAATGAAACATTGATTCATGTGTCTGGAATTCTTAACTAAGACAAAGTTACTGCCTTTTGCTGTGTTGAAACAGGCCTGACAATCAACATTTAAGGAAGTTTCACAGCAGAGTCAGAATAACTTAACAGCAGCACTAAAGCGGCTCGTCTTGAGAGAGAGAGAGAGAGAGAGAGAGAGAGAGAGAGAGAGAGAGAGAGATGGGGAAAGAAGAAATTTAAAAAAG